GTTATATAGGTTTTTATAACCCGCGTTGGTATTTATAATAATTTTTTTTTTTTTTTTTTTTGCGCGACAAAATAATAAAGTAGTAGTCGGGCAATAATGGCGTTTTTTTATTATATACGTATATATATTAATTTAATTGTTTTATAGTTGCGTTAGCTGGATTATTATTTGTGGTGGATTATTATTAATAATTGTTTTTGATTTTTAAATATAGAGCGTATAAGGGCACGATTTTAATAACCCGTTTTAGATTAAATACGATGCTTATAAAAATGGAAATATTGTGTTAAAAATTTATAATAATAGCTTTTTCCGTAATTGCTTTATTATAATTTAATAATTTCCGATAGTAAATATTATAATATAATAATAGGAGTTTTTAGTAGGATTTTATTTTGGTATTATTATAAAAATAAGGGCGGCCGTATTTAATATATATTAATAATTAAAGATATTATAGAAATTACGTTAGCTTTAAAAATAATAATATATAAAAGGCTGTTTATATATTAGGTCCGAAATTTATAATTTAAATATATTTTTTATAAATAAAAAAATAATAATAGGCTCGTTTAAATTTTTATTATTTTAGATACGGGAGTTTTTATTTTTTTTTATTTTTATTTTTTCGCCGGAAATTACGCGTTATTTTATTACTACTTTTATTTAATTTTAAATACTATTTTTATTTAAAATTTTAAAAGCTCGAGTTATATTCGATTATTATAATAAAAAAATTTTTTAAATATAGCGTTTTGGATTTAGTGCCCCCAAATATTTTAATTTATATATATAAAATAGCGCTTTAACCGTTTATTAATTTTATATTTTTAGCCGATTTAAGTTTTTATAAAATTAAGCCGGAATATATATTCCGATTTTTTAGCGATAATTAGTACGCTAAAAAATCGGCGTATTATTATAAAGCTATTATCGCTAAGTCCGACGAGTATTTTAGCGCCGTTATATAGTCGCTTATTGCGGCGCGCGGCGATTATTTAATAGTTTTTTTAGCTGGCTAGGCGGAGGTTATATTAAATTTTTTTTTATAAATATTAGTAATTTATATTATATTAGGGAGGATTTTTTTTTTAAGCGTTTAAACGTTTTTTACCGCGTAATAATTAATAATTTTTGGTATTTAAGCCGGGTGTTATATACGGGTATCGAGTATAGCAAAGATTTTTAATAGTTTTTTAGCGCCGCGTTAGGCGTTTTTTATTAGCGCGGTAAAGATTTAGTATATGCCCGATAGGAGGCCGCCGAGATTATATTTTGGATATTGCGTAAGGTTCCCGTTTGGAAATTTTATATAATAGTGTTACCGGAGGTTTAGAGCGACGGCTATTGCGATATTCCGTTTATAAAGTAAGCTAT